GGGTCTTCAAGTGCAGGCTACAAGTTAGGGTTTCGGAGTGCATTTTGGGCTTTGGGATGTTCAGGGTTCTTCAAGGGCAGGCTACAAGTTAGGGTTTCGGAGTGTCTTTTGGGCTTTGGGATGTCCAGGGTTCAAGTGTAGGGAGGTCCCTTCAGCCCACTGCTCAGGAGTCGGTTGTGGAGGAGGCAGAGGACTGGCTCGATGCCATGGCCCGCCTTGCGAGTCCGCTCATCCCCGTGACACGAAGCTAGCAGGCCCAATGCTGGCCTAGAGGCCCCGTCCTTCAGCCTGTTGCCTGAAGGAACAGGGTGGAGTGATTTGGGCATGGCCTTGCGTACGTGATTTTCCACTTTTTCTGAGATTTTCTGAGGTTTTCAACGGAAGTGTGCGTCCAGCAATTCCCACTTTTCGCATCCCCGTCAGAAAGGTCGCGAGGGGTCCAATCTTCAAGCCCTCAGCACCGATTTGTCTGCATGTCTGCGTGCGTTTTCATAGAAATTCTACTCGTGCAGCCAGCAAATATTCGGAAACGGAGTCTGATACGTGAAAGCTGCAGAACAAGCTGCCTTGGTGCAAAGGGCCACTGCTGCTGCCTCGGCCAAGCCGGGCGGCTCGCAAATCGTCGTTCCAATCATGCAAAAACAGGGCACCGCTAAGCTGCGACCCAAGTCATGTGGCCTTCCTAGACGATGAGCGCGCGCAGTTGCTGGCAGGTTGTTCCCAGGGACAGGAACACCTTTCTCTTCTCAGCTACGATGACCTCCAAGGTGGGGGGGGGGGCGGGGTGGCAGTCGCGCCAGACAAGAAGCTGGGAAAGCAGCGAAACACACCTCGGAAGGTCTCCAAGTTGCAGAGGGCAAGCCTGAAGAAGCCGGTGAAGGCCGCGAAAGATCCTGCAAGAAATGTCTTTTGGGCGAGCCCAAGCAGCAGGAACAGCAAGTTACCAATCGCTCTTTGCAGGTGGAGGTGAGCTCCAAGTCTGACACGGCGGCCGAAGCCTTGTTTAAAGTTGAGAGTTTCTGTCTCGATCGACAGTTCAGATACCGCGTTAGACTATTGTTGGGAAAGGGAGCGTGCGGCCACATCGGAATGGACGAGACTGAGCACTGATCAGGCCGGGCTGGTTCAGAACTTCATGCTGGTCCCCTTCAAGTGCCGAGCCCAGTGAGAGCGGAGACGTGGAGGACATTCTGCGCGGTCGCTTGCAGTAGAGTCCTCGTTTCGTCCTTTAAGCCGAAGCCCTAATCGCCAGCCCAACTTAGCTTACTTCAGCTGGCCGTTGGGTTGCCTTTGCTTTGCCATACCACAGGTCAAGGAGCCCCGTAAACTTATCGAAATGGTCATCGCGCCACCGGAATTCCCCCGGGACAGAAGGAAACGCGTTTTGAACCGAACCTGAAATGCTCCATGCCGGTGATGTCTGGATATTTTGTGGTTGCTGCAAACGCACGGGCGCGAAAGGCTCGCGTGGCCCTAGAACCTTCCCCCCGAAAGCCATGAAAACCTACACCCAAGAGAGTCCAGAACCTGGGTCTTGCGGCTGCCCAGGTTTAAGCACACCTACTTTGCAGCCTTGGTGGCTCATTTCATCCACTACGCGGTCCCTTGGCCGCTTTTGTGAGGCTCTGTACACATAATTTGTGTGAGTCTCTTGACTTCTCCGTTTCATCATAATTATAGGGTTCAGCAGCAGATTTAGATTCTGCAGCAAGAGTCTCCCAAGAACGCGCCTCAATGCGATCGGTTCCAAGCGGCCCCAACTGGGACGTGCAACTCGCAGGGAATAGGTGAAGGGGCTTTTCTTGCACAGAGCTACCAACCTCGCGTGCTCAGCGGTATCATGCCGACCCGGTGGATCCTTGGAAAGCGGGATTCGGTGTAGGCAGGGCGTCTTCCAAAACACTCGCACGCAAAAAGAACCCAACGAACGAAAGCAACATAGAAGCAAGACAGTAGAGCAATCACATGCAACATCTGCATAAATACATTGATACATAAACGCGTGGCAACAGGACAGTAAGATACACACAATTAGAACGACCGAGGTACTGACATACATACATAAGGAAATTCATAAAAAAGACACAACTACATGAACAACGAAGCAAAGAAAGACTGACATACATGAATGCAAAACTTCGAGAAGATGAACAAGTGAATGAATATGAATTGAAACACGTGACGACCGAAAGAAAACAATAACATTCGAGAGAGTTAGCCGAATGCAGTGGGTGATGGAGTGCGCGTGAGGTCAGGCTGGGCACAAGCTGCAGCTCCCAATTGTTCCAGTTGCCAGGTCATGGTCTTCACCGACACATGCCTCGGAGCACAAAGACTCTCTGTTTTCTTGAGGCGCCCTTTTGTGTTGACGAATTCGTTTCAGAAAAGCGGTTAAAGGGTTGCCTTTCCTTCGTGCTTAGCGGGGCTTGGGTCTGTGAGCCGAAGTGTGGCAAAGCCCCAGCGAGACAGGCACATGGGTATGAAGTCCATCTGCTTGCATGGGCAGATGAGCCAGGCACCAGCTTTTCAGAACCACGTCAGCAAATTCCCTGCTTTCAGATGCCTTGGTGCCTTCTCGCTGCATTCTCATAGCGTGCAGGCGCAGAGACTTGGAGCACTCAGCGGATTCAAGGCAGGTACTCCTGCCTTCTTCTCCGCTCTGCATCCTGCGTTGTAGTCGGTGAGCCACGCGCACACGCCGTCATGCCACGGGGCCATGAGCAGTCCTCACAGGCCAAAGAGCAAAGGATCCTGGTGTGCACGGATGTGGCTTCGAGAGGATTGGACGTGCCATCGGTGGACCTGGCCTCACACTCAGCATGACAGCCAGCCCTGGACTAACGTGACCGAGCCTTCCTCAAATCTTATCACAGAGAGTCGCTTTGTGGTGCTTCGTTGGTGCTTTGTTGTGTGGGTTTTTCAGTGATACGCTCCTCTGCATGAGGTGGTGAACTACGACATTCCTAAAAACTCCAAGGACCGGGCCGCTAAGCAATGTGTGCAGACAGGAAGACAGGCATTGCAAGGGGTGTAGCAGAAGTTTAGACTTCTGCAGCACTTTCTGAGGCACTTCTCAGAAGGGGTTGTGACGACGGTGTTGTGTGCTGGTAGGACTACATCCACAGAGTTGGACGGACGGCGCGGGCCGGACGAAGCGGCAGGGCGGTCACAATGGTCCGAGCCTTGGAAAAAGAGAAAGGCCCGTGGACCTGGCACACCCTGCAAAGACTCTAAGACTCTAGGAAGTGTCAGTGTTGTCATATCTTCAACGGGATCGATCAAAGTTGTATATAGTCCTGGGTTACCCCTGCCTTTAGCCCTTACTTCACGGGGGCTGTCGCGGCCACAGCCATGTGGGACAGGGTGGTAGGGGTGCCGTGCCCAAGCACCAAGGGAGGCCCCACCGGGCACGGTCTACGGGTGTCAAAAGGTGGCTGTGCAGTTCCAGAGGGGGACGGTTCGAAACCGAGGGACAGATTCAGGCGTCGAGGGCACACCTTGTTTAGGAAGTTGTGCTTCATCCCGGCGCTCGCCTTCGAAAGGGGTGCACAAAGAAGGGCATGAGCTTGCAAAGGTCACCCAGTACGACGTGGAACTTTTCCAGCGAGTTGAGCATTTCCTTGGCAAGAAGCTGGAGGACGCAGCATTCAGGGTACTGTGTGGGGGGGGGTGTCTTGGCCAGCATCTATGGCCGGTGGATTCTCTCCTTTCCTTTGCTTGCTTATGCTTGTTCGTGTGGGAAAGAACAAAGAGAACAAAGGGCTCGTACCCACTACACCTGCATTCATATGGTGTTTTGCTCCTCTTTCACTTTCGTAAGAGGAGTTTGCTCCAGAATCCACACGGCCTTCGTAGGAGTTCACCGAGCTGGTTGACACGAAGGTGAAAGCCAGCCACGAGCGCGTGCTCGAGGCCAATCGCCTTCGATCGAAAGAGTGGAGACTTGTGCATGGACATGTTACAAGCTATCTGGCCACCGTCCAGTACGTTATCCTTATACTATCCTTTATATATATATATATATATATGCATCTGTATTTATATACTATCCGAACACAGCCCTCACCTTTTTGCATTCTCCTTACACTATCCCTCAGTTTCCGTGCAAAGGCATTGCGGAGCACAGAGCTTGAGCTGCGAGAGCAGGCCCCGATGTCAGACCCTGTAATGCCTGTGTGTTTGCTGGTGAGAGCTGCCGACCCAGTAGCTGGAATGCCTGGGGTGCTGGAAGCAATCTCTATGTATTGCCGAAAGGACGAAGGCACCTCCGAACGAGCTGTGAAGAGGACCACCTGCTGGCAATCGCTTTCCCCCTCAAACTTGGAGTGCTACAGTTGTCTCGGGCATCTCCGCACAGAGTGGCTGTGCTTGTTTGCGGCCCGTCCGCAGGAAGATGCACCAGCAAAAGTCAAAGGGCAAGAAGGGCAGCATTAGCCTCAGATCCGATAGAAGCACCCAAAGCCTCTCATAGCTGCACATGCTGTAAGCAGATGCACACGGTACATGACTCCTTTCTCGCGGTCCGTCCTACTTCCTGCGCGGCATCAGCACCTGCCAAAGACCGCTAAGGACGCAGGTGAGTTTTGGCCTTTTGCTGCCAGTTCTTCACTGAGTCTCACCCTGAACCAAGCCCGAAGCTTAGCCCACCAGACCAGAACCGATGTAATTCTGTCCTGGTCTGCTCACAGAAGACTTTTGATGTTTCGTCATGTTCAAGTTCAACCCCAGGGGTGCTGTTTGAGCCATCTGCGAAACAGAAGACCGGTGTGTCCATTTGATCCTTCAGCACAGGCAAATCGGTTCGTTCAAGCGCTCGCAACTTTGCTTCAATGCTCCCCAAGTGCAGCACGCTTTCGGCTTGAGTGGTATCTGCCCAAAGCATGCCAAAGTTTTCAAGACATTGCAGTTTTCAAGACGTTGCAGAACTTGGGTCTCAGTCCTCAACCGTGGACCCTCTTGAATCTGCATCCAAGATATCTGAACAAAAAGAAGCGGAACCCATGGCAGCCATGTCAAGCGCGGGAGTGCTGGATGACCTCTTCCTGTGGGGAATGACGGACCCAACGCCTCCGCTCCAGGCGAGTGGCAATTTCGTGCATCACTTGGGGCGCTGCTTTGGAACGTTGTTGCTGCGACGTGCTGCGATTCGTAGGCTTTCGGCGGGCGTTCGAAAGGGGGTGTTAGCGGAAGAATCCCTGGCAGGAGCTGGGCATGCCTTCAGCCTCTGAGCTCGATCGAATGTTTCAAGAGCTCCTCGGTGCTTGTTTGGGCCTCTTTTTGGATGTCGTGTGTCCTTTTTTACTGTGCCGGGAGCCTCAGCTTGAAAGTTCCCACGCCATCGGACCAGGAGCCTCAGATACGACAATGTTGCGCGCCAGACGCCGCCCAGCTCTGCGGCGGACAAGGTTAGACTGGTGCCTTGGCGGGCAGTTAGCCCGCCTGCATTCCTGCATGATGCAAGCATGTGCCAAGCTGCGAGATGGTTTATCTTGCCCAGTCAGTGTTTGGCGATGATGGGATGATGATGGTCGTCTGTGTTGCGGTCATATATGGTGTGGTGTCGTCAAGTCGTTGTCCTTGTGCGTCCTCGTCCCCTTTCTGATTTTGTTCAGTATGTGCAGCATATGCTTCGTTGCCCTTCTTCTCATCGTGACCACATCATTGAAGGACTTGAAGCTCAGCTTGGCGCATGGTGGTTCAAATGATACGAGGGAAATGGAATCTACACCGAGGCCACAGGCTGTCGCAGGGCCACCTTGCGACACGTGGATGTGGAGAGCCCGCAGCTGCAGCAAGCGCGGCAGAGCCTTGCAAGGACATGGCATTCTGCAGCCTCGAAGAGCATGGGATTTTCAAACCCCGCAGGTCTGGCGGCTATCCATTGCGGTCTGCTGCGGTATTCCTCTTCAGTGCTGCATTTCCGTATACTTTCAGTGCATCTCAAGTTCTCCGGCAGGACTCGTTTCTTCATTCCTGCACATTGCAGCGATGGCAAGGATTACCATGCCCGGCTGGACGGGGACATGTTGTTGGAGCCCTGCAACTATGCCGTTGAGCTGCATGTGGTAGGTCCAAACAAGGTCAACAATCATTCTCTGCATTCTTCCGACCTTGACTTCCCGAGGTTAAATCGGGTGCCCCTTCGCGGGGAGTCAGCGTCTTTGCAGACATCGCTGCGGCACGCCGCGTTCGCGGAAGGCCCCTGCCAGATCGAAGTGTATCGAAGAATGCAAAAAAAGCTTGTTCTGGTTTCTGCGTTGCAAGGTCGGCACAGTCTCGTGCTGCGCTGGCGGACACCGTCCTAGAAGCATATGGCCGCTTGGACGCAGTTCGCCTGAGTCCATCTATGCTAGGTTAAACAGCTGCACACGCGGAAGACAAATCTTCAAGGTACTGGAGATGGCCAGATCATGAACTCCGCGGAGACCAAGCTGCGCTTTGCGAGAGTTTTCGTGGGGGAGGAGGCCGAACTTGAGCACCCTGTGGTTCCTGACTCGAACAGCAGAACTTGGAGAGCTCACGAGCAAATCCGTCGAGCTCATCCAGACTACAGCACCTCAACCACTGGGTAGCACAGCCTCGTTCGATCTCGTTCGTCTAGGAAGACACCAAGAAGTGTTATACAAGATCATACCTATACAGCCTTTACAACAGTTATACCGGCTAAGAGCCGCATAGGAGTGGTTGCTGCTGGGAGCTGCCAGGTGCCTCGTGGTATGGGGCGAAAACCATGGTGCTCGCCGGAAGGGGTGCCTGGGTCTGCACAAGGGTGCCGTGTGGAAGGAATGTCTGCTTGCTGCTGCAGGAATAGCCTAAGCAACAACTCAATCGGTTGCCGGTGGGAGCATGTCTCTGCGCACTCGTGAACACTGCCCGTTTCAATCGGCTGCCTGCTGTATTTTTTGTGTGACATGGCTACCGTCCGTTTTGAAGTGTCAGAAAACTCCAGGCCTGCAGATTAGCGGAGTCTGGTAGCTGCCTGTACGATGTTTCGACCTTTGAAGCAGTCCACCAGACTCCGAGGCCCGTGCCTGGACATCGGGCGACGAGGCAAGGCAAAGGGACAGGAGCCAAAGGCAAAGACTCCTCCATGAGCCTTGGCTTCCTTGCACTACATTCGGTGCTAAAGCAGACCCAAAAATGGCAAAGTCTCAGTGGCAGCAAAGAGCTCTCTCCCTGTGCTCCAATGTGCTCAGGAACGCTTTGGTGCATAGGGCTTTCCGGAGATCGCGAGAAGCTGGGCATCCTTGGAGTTGAGTTCTGCTTCCGGCGGAAGAAGCAGGGTGAGGTATTCAGGTGCATCAACGACCTGTGCGACATGCTCGGCATGTGGGCCCCTCAGCCCAGAATCACATCGTCAGCGTGCGACTTCTTGCGCTTGTTGCTGGCAAAGCCTGGGCCAGAGCCAGCAAGGCTGGGCCACGTCGGTGCTTGCTGACAGATCGACAAGGAGAACATGCGCAACCCGGATGTTGGGTGCCTGCCTGCGTGCCGCCGTTCGCAGATGTTTCACTGTTTCACTGTTTTCGCGCATGCTTGATGTGTCTGCTGCGGCAGAACGCTAATGCAAGCTTGACAGCACTTGAGGGGTGTGCACTATGTGCACCCCGCACAGATACGGCAGACCGCAGAACGGAAAGGTGGTGCCCTGCATGGTGTGTGAAGCTTCTCGCTGTGCAGAGATTTTTTCAGTAGTTGCTCGGAGACACTATTGCCGTGTTCGCTGTTCTCATTCTCCGGACATGTTGCCTGCGGCATTTGGCACAAAGGGAGGAACCTACTCCCGCCACACCCCCACGGCGCAACTTGGGAGTGTCAAGCCCTGAGTCGCAAACCAAAGCATGGTGTCACTGCAGAGGTGTGGTGCAGTTTTTGTTTCTGAGCCCGCGGGCCTTGAAAGGTGTTGTCAGACGAAATGAAGTGCTTTCGAAATGTGGTGCTTGGCGCCTCAGCGGGGCTCTCAAGTGATGCACTATGATGCACTCAAGTCATGGACGAGGCCTTGATGTGCTTTGCACTGTATGACTTGTGCTCTGAGGCCTTCACCCTGGGGCCACAGCCCAAGGTGTTGACATCCAGAGTCAGAGATCTTCAGAAGCTCTAGCCTGGCATGGTTCCAGAGGAGAGGCAGCAGGGAGTCCTCGCCGACGTGAGTAAGTGAGGCTGGGGACCTCCTACCACATGGACTATTCCTCGGGAGCCTCTCCGGTTCAGAAGGTTGTGGAGCTGATGTGCTGCCGGCAAAGTTTTCTGAAGGGATTCCTAAAATGACAGGTTCTTGCCATTTCTTGCCTGTGCCAGGCAGACCATGGTAGCCGAGGGTAAGAAGGAGATCCAGGCGGAGAAGGTCACGATGCCTGTGAAGTGTCGACGCTGTGTTCCGTGATGGTCTGCTCATCTCAAGGTCCAGTACGCCAAGTACTCCAAGTGGTGCGAGATGACCCAGGCGCGACATTGCCCGCAAGCTTGCGAGAGGAAAGGGCACTCTGCGTATTATAGGAACACATCCCGGGATCCCGCACGCCGAAGTAGGAAGGGTTGACAAGTTGACGCCCCAAAACCTTCACATCACTGCAAGCGTGGGAAAATGCAGCCTACGCCCAGGCCAAGAAGTCCCAGGTCATCTCGGACACCGCCGATGCCATCGATGGCTTGAAGGCTGTGTTGGGACAACGGCGATGACGGTGTTAAAGGGAAGACCGGCGTGAAAGCCCGTAGAGCCTGAAACTAAGCGAATCGTGAACCCGTCTGCGTTGCAACTGTGGCGAGTCCTTGCACCTCCTTTTCAGGGTTAGGTTTTTGCAGGGGTTGCCTCACCTTATCCTTTGTTACATGCTATCACACTAGATTGCCAGGCCGACATCTCCAAGACGTCTGCCACCATCGACCGGCTAGCCGCAGAGAACGAAGGCTCTTGCTGAGAATCAGTCTGCTGAGGGCTGTCGTCATCAAAAGCTGACGTTTCTCCCCAAAGCGTACAAAGTCCTTGTGGCAGAGGGCACCTGGGCAACATCGCGGCCTTGGTTGCGCAGCAGGAGAACATCACGCAGGTGCCTGAGGGCTTGTCAAACTGCCCTCGAAAGCAAGAGACCTGCTCCAAGTTTGCGCTGCAACCGCTTGTTTCTGAAGCCGGCCGTGTCCCGATGCCCTTCAAGCTCTGCTTTTGCCAGATTCGGAAAAAAGAGAACGAGGACTTCCAGGTCATTTTGAAGGCGCACCAGCACTTGAACTGATCGATCCTTCTTGGGCTGTGCAGTCCAGTCCAGAAACGCTTAAAGTGTAAGAGTGTGCTGCTGAGAATCTCGGGCCCTTGGACCATTGAGCTGAGTCAGGACTACGGGGAGTCCATTGCTGCCCTTGGCAACGCCATCGCGGTGATGAAGGAACAGGCCCTGTACAGCCTGATTCGAGAAGAAGGGGACATCAGACATCCTGTCTGGCACTTTTTGCTTAGGGATTCCTGGGAATAATGTGTAAAATTTGGGTACTGCAATTCCTAAGAAACAGTCAAAATTAGAATTCTTGCTAGGGTTCCAAGTTCAGTGTCGTATTTGTGGTCCTTGAGTGCTAAGGCATATGCTTTGGCTCAGACTCCGACATGATCAGACTCGTTCAGTGGCCACCAGGGTTTAGGCTTTAGGGTTTAGGGTTTAGGGCATTTGGATTGCTTCAGATTGCTTGGGGGCTACTCCGCTAGTGCGGGGGTTGACATATTTGAGGCTTCTTTACGATCACGCTTGATGGCGGCTATGAGTGCCGAAGAGTTGCGCGCTGAGATCGAGGCCACCAATGTGCTGGTGCGAGGGGAGTTGGCCAAGTTCCGGGAGCTTCAGGCCGCTTCAGCAGCAGCCCTGGAGCGGCAAAGGCTGCGAGAAGAGCTGGATGAGAGGAGGGCCTTTCTGGCAATGGCGCGGGAGAGGAATCGTGAGGAGGCAGAAAGACGACAGCACATCGATGCAGACCGAAATGTAGCGTGTGACTACTCTGAAGTCTTTCCGATGCTGCTTTCCAAGAGAGCATATGCCCCGGCAGCTAGAGCAGAAGAGTGCGCGGGGTGGGGCAGCAAGGTCGCCAAGGGCGAGTACGTGTGGAAGCTTCAGCAGATGTCTTGGCTTCGGACAGCACTTCGCCAGGACTTTCTGTCAGGGGCGTTTTCTGAAGATTTCCAGGTGGGCAAGTACATCTTCGATTTTGTGTATAACCCTTTCGGAGGCCGTCTTGCATCTACGCAGAAGCTCGGCTCCCTAGCCATAAGAACATCCTCAGACGAGAAGTTCGCGCTTCGCTATAGCATCCATATCAAGAGGCGAGGTGGGGACTTTGTGCAGTGGGGCGAGACGCAGGACGCACTCCACAACGGCTCTGAGAAGCACTATGGCCCCGATGTGGCGGACATGGCAGACTCTCCGGCAGCAGAGCACTGCGGAATCTTCGGCCTGACTCATGACGAGCTCCTGCAATCCGAATGGGTGGAGAACGACACTTTGACCATGAAGTTCCTGTTGGAAGTCCGGTGTGAGGGAGTCCACCATTATCAGGTCACCCACAAAAAGATCGAAACGGTAGAGGTTCCCGAAGCCACCATGGACCGAGACCTGCAGGCCTTGCTTCAGGAAGGTACATGCAGCGACGTGCAGTTCAGGGTACAGGGTGAGGTGGTTCATGCGCACTCCCAACTTCTCTGCGCAAGATCTGAAGTTTTCAAGAAGCAGCTGACGGCCGGCATGCGGGAGTCCGTGTCCAAGGTAATCGACGTGGAAGACTGCGACGCGGCTACCCTGAGAGCCTTGTTGCGCTTCCTCTACACCGACAGCTTTCCCGCAGTGGAGGAACTTGCGGCGCAGCCGTCAAGCGAAGCTGCAAGGGAAGACGCAAGCCGGCATCTGTTGTTCACGCAGGGCTTGTGGGCTGCCAGCCACAAGTATCAGGCCACGAGGCTTCAGCGGTGGTGCGAAGCGCAGCTCTGCGAACTGCTCAGTGCATCGGAGGTGTGCGGAATCCTTTGTCAGGCACACGTCTTTGAGGCCAAGCAGATCGAGAATGCCTGTCTCTCGTTCATCAAAGACCACACAGCCGAGGTGCTCAAGCTTCAGGCCTATGCCGACTTGAGCAAGAAGTGGCCGGAGGTCGCGATGAAGATTCACCTCTTCTCAGCCGGCGTGCCAGAAACCGAGGCAGCTGCAATCGTGCAGGCCTCCAAAGTACGGAGGCTGGAGAATGGGAAGGAGAGGACATTGTAGAAATCGTAGCGCGCGGCTGCGGTGTTGTGGATTGCTGGGATGTTCGCACCGTCATCAAAAAGTCACTGCAGCCGGACTTCACATGGGATGGTTCGGTGCGATCTTTGTGGCCTTCCGGGTTCAGGGCTTCTAGGGATTTTGGAGTGTTTAGGGCGTTCACGGCTTTGAGAGCATTGAGGGGTTTTCGGGCTTTGAGTGAATATTCGGTTGTTTTGAATCCGGCTTCTTCGGAAAACTCATCGGCGAGCAAATCCCAGGATATACAGCAGAGCAGACGGCATGTAAACTTATGCTGTTTCTACTGTACAAGAGGCACTGCCGAAACACAACAGGTCAGTGCCATTATCTGCTGTCTACCTGTCTTGTGCCGCTCGTGCCGCACACGTGTAGCTTCATTTGGGGGTTTACGAAAATAAGGGAACCTAAAAATGGACCCCGAAATACTCGGATTCCCTTCTAACTCGGACCCGCCCCCCCCACGAAGGTACCACTATTTGCGGATTGTGAGTACCCCCTGCTCACAGGCCTATGACCGTAAGCAAGCCAAGCCGGAGAAGGCCAAGGCTCCTGGGTTTAGGGTTTAGGGTTTAGGGTTTAGGGTTTAGGGTCTGCATCACACTTTCTGAACTGTATGGCGCGGCATGAACAGCAGGAAAGCGCGCTGCTTGACGAGCCCATGCCCCGGCGTTCAGACAAAGCACACAGAGTGGGTTGAGATTTTGGATGTGAAGAAGAAGCCAAGACTGTAACATTGTTGGGGTGTGCAGTACTTCCACCGCAGTAGCATGGACGCGTATCTTCTCGCAATTTTGATATGGTTTTCCAGGTCTATCATCCAGGACTTGCGCACGAAGGCTCCCGGTCGAGAGGCGGGGTGGAGTCCTTTTGTTTGTGGACTGTTGATGTTAGCCGCGGATGCTTGAAGATTTAGGGCATGCGAATCTTGAACATGAGGGAATGCTTGAGCCAGCTACCCAGACCCATCATCAGTCAGCGCCAGTGAGCATCAGTGCCCTGTAGATGACGACTGCCATTACGGCTCTCGTTGAGACCAAGAAGCCGGAGGTGGGAATCCGACTTCCGAGGGGGTTTTGTGCGCGCCCTTGCGACGCCGGCCACAGGTGGATGGCTACGAGTTCCAGTCCAAAGGCCAGCTCGCTTGGCATCGGATCGCCCGAGAATTCTTTGAATGTTGCCCAGTCGTGTGGCCCGCGACCAACAAACCGCGAACCGGCAGGCATCGTGGAATTGCTGAAGGAGCTGGAGGATAAGTTCATCCAGGAGAAGGAGCTCCTGCGTTGGCACTGAGCGGGGTTTTGACTTTGCAACACCATGTTCTACCCATCCAGGCGGACCTGGAGAAGGCTGAGTTTGAAAAGAAAGCTGGCTACGAGACCACGCTGGCCGGCAGAATCCCTGGAAAAGCTTCCCGTCAGTGTTGTTTTGTGTATTGGTGAGGCCCGTCGTAGTTCTTGCTTCAAGTTTCGCAAGCGCCAGATGGCGTCGGAAGTGAGATCCCTTCACCAGTACACATCAGCGTGAAGTTCTTGTGATGGCCAAGGCCTCAAGAACGAGCAGGCAGCAGAGCAGAAGGCACCTGCTCATCATGCTGCGCATGGGGTCCGAAGTCACAGTGGGCACATGCCAGGATGTCGACAAGAAGAGCGCGCTCAAAAGCAAGAAGCTGCAACAGAAGGCAATGCTGAATTGCCTGCCACTTTTTCCCTGGCCCATCCTGTCTCCAAACCCAAGCCGCAAGCCTAGATGTTGCTTGAGGTCACTTGGCACCCTGAAGATTGTTTTCTTGCAGCGCACCTGTGTAAAGCAGAATCCGCCGGAACGATTCTGTGCTTGGATTAGATTCTGTGCTTGGATTATTCTAGGCACGTGTGGCAGGCCGAGCTGGGAACCAACCTCGACACCAGTGAGTCCACAAAGGCAGCCGACGAGCTCGGGCCCCGAATCGAAAGGTGGCTCATAGCACGGCCCCCTTTGCAACCGAAGCACCAGGAAGCGCCATGCGAGTGCTTCAACGCGCGTTGAGGAAGTACCTCCAGGACATCACCGGCACCTGCACGCAGAAGGCGCTCTGGGAGTTTTGCAGTCTCCTTCTTGTGGCACAGCTTTCACCTTCTGAACCGCATCTTTTTGAGATTCCCCTGATTTCCCGTCCGCGCAACCGGCCCTGTGTGCAGGCGACGGACTATGCTGCGCGACAGAAGCTCCGAGCTGAGGCAAGGTGTGGAACCAGGGACTACGAGAAATCTCGGGAGTCTTTCCACCAAGCTGCTGAGCCATCTTAGACCTTGAGCACGAGTCATGAAAATCTTGGCTTTATGTGTGGGTTTGCAATTCCTCGAATTGCATTCTTGTAGCCTGGAGCTTGATGGCCGCGGCATTCTTGACCACATGGTCCTCATTCCCTTGGGCAGGAGCTGGAGGCTGTGGACAAGGCTTGCGCTTTGCAATGTTCTGCGATGAGTTTCAGAAGTTAGAAGCCTCTGCTTTTGATTCGGGAAGCTGGTGGAGCTTATCGAAGCTAGACTTCGCTCAGCTTTGCCATTGAATCATTAGCCCGCAAGAGCACCCAGCAGGCGTCCGCTTGCATTTTATATAATATAATTTTTTCAAAACAACGCTATCCAGGCCATTGAGATCATTGGCGGTGAAGCCGTGGCAGGGCTGCGCTGGCACGTTTCGCGGGAATCGGGGACTGAAGGGTTGCAGCTTGGGGGGATGATGACCCGTGGCAGGAGCGAGCAGAAGCATTTAGCCAAGAGCTTCCTGCAGGTCGGTGGGCAGCGGGGGGTGGGGGTGGGGGGGGGGGGGGGGGGGGGGGGGGGGGGGGATAAGTATGGGAACTAGACTACAAAACCCTGTTTTCGGATACTTGTGGCCCTCCTTATCACTGCCCAAACGAACCTCCAAGTCTGGGCAGGTCTCTGGTACATCCCTGGCTGCACTCCGAGCAAGCGACGGCCGTCGTGCTCAGGCTGTGATCAAGGCCTTCAACTGGTTTGTGACTTGTTTCCCAGCTTGGTTTTGTTGAAATTAGGGGTACCTTATTGGGGTCCTGATTATAAGGGAGTCCTACTATCTTGGGGTCTATTTGGGGGGTCTCCCATTTTCGTAAACCCCCTTTTTGGGGATGCAGGCAAGCCGCTGCATCGTTTCAGAACGGTCTTGCAGCATGCCCCACCGAAAACACATTAGGGCACTCTTGGGCTTCGATTTTGCGGCGCAAGGTTCCAGCAGCAGCTTGAAAGCAGAGGTTGCCACAGCATGTTCGAAAGATATTCTTAGTCTCATGTATGTTCAAATGGTGTCACTATGCTGGGAATGCGGCCGCTTCGGCCGCTTAGGGCCTAGACCACTCTGCAGGAGAGGGTGGCGACCTTCCTCCAGAGCGAGGTTGCCGAAAGGGGGCTGAGCCTAGTGCCTTTTGAGGGTCATTGGCTTCGGGCTTAACCTGTGATTTCCGGCCTTTGGGGTTTCTCACTTCTGAAACAGTAACTTGTAATTTGCGGTGCCTCTGGGGCCTTCGTGCGTCCTCCTTGGAGCATGCATTGTGTTAGACCCCAGACACTACTGCCCAAACCCCAAGCAAAACCACAATCAACGACATATTTGCAACCAGTCCAACCTCTCAACCCTCAGCCCTAAGCCCTGAAGTTCCTGGACCAGGCGGAACGCCTTCACAGCGCCACCCTGGCCAACCTGGCCACGGGCCCGGAGGGTGTGGTATTTTAGGATTTTTAGGGCTTGGGGTTTGGAGTTTGGGGTTTGGGGCTTTAGGTCTTGGGTTTTGAGGGCGTGATGTTTGGGGTTCCGGCTTTGGGAGTTCGGTTTCAGGAAGTTTCAGGGTTAGGGTGGGGCGCTTGATCTTGGGTCTAACGAAGAGCAGCTGAGGTCAAGGGTGCTGTCGTACGTCGTGAAGCTTCAGCATGCCGCACCACGCGTGCCAAGGTGGCGCCATCCGAAGCATCTCCTTCACTGGGAGGTGTTGAGGACATGGTGAAGGACGGGGTCCGGCATGATGATGGGAGCGCCCGGCGCACCCAGCGCACCGGGCACAGACTTTTTTTTTGATTTGTGCGTTACTCGTAGTTGTTTGGCAAGCATGCAAAAGGTGGCTTCAATCTGCCTGTGAAGTTTTCTTGTGGTGTGGCTTGTCCTTGTCTCTGTGTAGGTATGTGCGTACATACGTATATATATATATATATATGTATGTATGTATGTATGTATGTACGTACGTACGTACGTACGTATGTATGTATGTATGTATGTATGTATGTATGTATGTATGTATGTATGTATGTATGTATGTGTTTTACATGTGTGCACATGTACACTCATCTTGCGGGCACTCGGGATTGGGATGGATTGCGGAAACCCCCAGACATTCTGAGCCACAGACCCTGGCAAGTCCAGAATCCTAAGCCCAACGAAGCTACTTGAAGGTTCATTGGGGTAGTACTTTTCGCAGGCCTTTCGTTATGGCAACTACACTAGGGTGCTCATAGCCCGACTTACAACTGCCCATGAACCTCCCAGTAGTAGATCCTACCCAGCAGGGTATACATACGCATGGTTACGTGCACGCACACACTCTTTACCTACATTGACCTTCATAGCAACTTCTTTATTTGGGGGGGCTTTAGGAATGTGCCGACGTTCTGGATATCACATGAGGTCACCACCTGTGTCAGCACATATGGAAGCCCACCTTCCTGACTGCACAGGAAGGAGCCAGAGCCTGGATGGTGAACCCTGAACCCTATCCCACAATCGCCCGCGGTGGTTTAGGCACAAGAGGCTCCGAGCCAGGCCGTAAACCCTGGGTTTAGGGTTTGGGGCCAGGGTTTAGGGTTTTAGGGTTTCGGGTTTAAACCCCAAGCCGCAAGTCCTGAAGAACAGGAGCTGATTACGAAGCTCGAGAAGCAGGTCGCTGAGGCCAAGACCAAGCAAGGCCCGGGCCTTCTGTGGAATTTGAAGGTTTG